GAGCTTACCAGAGAACTGATCGGCCAATGTTTCTGCGATTTTGCCGTTTCTGACCCCAGGAGGTGAATACATTTGTGACCTATTTATCCAGAAGCCCACAAGTTTATAAGAAGTACAAGAGAAGCATGCCACCACATATGTCCGCTGTACCGTACTTTTTTGAATCAGCAAAACCTGCTCAGGGAAACGGCAGGGTAGCGTCCTAAAAAAGAATCAGAAACGGAACTTGTTGACTCTCTAAGCTCCTAGCTGAGACTCAATGGTGCTCGTATAGTGGACATACTAGAAGTCCCAATCAATTCCGTTAACCCTTTTCAATGACCTTACCACATGCTGCAAACTTCATAGCGTTACATAATGGTGTCATAGCGTATTAAATAGTACATAGAAAGCAACAACAGAGACTCTTCGCCGGTATAGATCAGCATACTTTTCTTCGCATAGGGCGCCGCTAGTGATTGAACTGTTACTTTCAAATAAGGAGTCATCCCCTGTTGCCGTCAAGCTCAACATGGCCTTTAGCGAGTGCCCTACGATGGAACAACGTCCTAATTTCTTGATGCGTTCATTAGCGGGCAGCTTTCCATGCAATATTTTGGACGGGCAAGACCCACCTCCAGCATTTTGGAAAAAACTCAAAGGTCCTCAATTCATCGAGGAAGTTGTTAGGCTCAAGCCTCTCCAAACTTCTGTGGCGAACTCTGAGAAGTCACACATGTTGAGGTGCACCAATAGTTATGTTTAGTTAACATTTCTTCAATGAAAAGCAGTGTCTACATCGGGGCATGACCTTCATTATTAGTGACCAGATTAGTCCCCCGTCAACCGCCGGGACCTTCCTTTCCTGCGCAAGCTTTCTATCCTCCGCTATGGTCCCTTCCTCCTGTGACACCAACACCTCCTGGAAGTGACGCGTATGCAACACAATGGTGTTTCATACAGTAGAAGGGACACAATCATGATATGACGGTAGATTTTTCGCTTCCCTTCCTCATCCTCCCTTCCTCTCTCCACTGCCCTCCAGCTGCCACTGCAGCACCATGTGGAATGAACGGAAGTGTGCTAAGCAGGTGTTTATATAGCCCTAAGAGTGTTATCACAACTATCCTGCTACAAAACATTGATATCTCAAATCCTGTAAGCTACCCGATTTGTTAGCGGTTTGTTTATCCCATGAGCTTCCTTCTCACTCACTTCATTTTGCGGACGGACACACAGACACACATACATACATACACACACACACATACAGATACACAAACCGACACACAAAGTTAGCGCTTTATAAAATAGAAGTAACGCTGTGCTTGGGAGGAGACTCGACTCAACCACTCAGTTTATTCGACACTCAACAATGAATCATACAGCCGGAGCGCGGATCTTATATAGCTGCCTCAGGGGGCGGGACCGGAAGTAGGCGTGAACCTCGCTGTGATTGGCCGGTTCTCCTTACAGGCGTTAACGTGATCACTGACGACGGCTCCGGAGTATCGATCGGCTAAGGCTATAGCGGTTGAAATGGATTGTACTAAACAATAAACTTTTACACAATCAACAGCAACAAACAGACATAGACACTTGTCTAGGATAACATGCCCGGCGGTGAAGAAGAGTCGTCCCGACTCTCCACTTCATCGGTGCCATCCACGGGAAGAGCTCGGCTGCTGGGTTCTATCCTTTCCAAATTTCCGATCACTCCTGGGCGGATACGCATGCGATTGTCCTCTGTACTGCAAACTCGTTCTCCTCCGCTTTGGGTCCTCGCTCGACTCCCTTGTATCTGATCCACGGGTGGCTGGTCCACGGAATGAGATGTTGAGATGATGGCGGGCACGCTCTGGATCTGCGATGACGTAGAAATTCGGCTTGAATTCGTCCCTGCGCCTCTTCGCTCGTGCAGCTTTCTCCGCTCGGCGCGCTTCCTTCAGCTCGTTTGAGGCGGCCTTGAACTCTCGCAGTCTCAGGATATCAGCTATCGTGACGCGCAGCTTCTCCAAGAACAGTACAATTTGTCTGCCATTGAACGGTGATCGCTTGAATCTTGGGTCTGTCCCAAGGCACATTGCGGGATGAGTATACGGTGCCGACTCCAAAACTTCGGTGTAGTGATCCCGGACGATTGCTTCAAAACCTCGGTCGGCAGTCGTCATAAAGCGTACGAACTCGGAACATACTCGTCCCATTTTAGACCATTCCGTCACATTACTGTCCTCATAGGGACTGGGGAAGAATAGCAGCGTCCCGCCTGGCTGCAGATGGCGCTCCAGCGCTATAAGGACCTGCCTCATCGATCTTCCCGACGGCATTATATCTGGCCATACGAGTATAATTGCTGTGACGATGTTGACCTCCAGCAATTTCTGGGCCAGCAACTCCCAGTCCTGATAGACGTACACGATCATCTCGCTGCCGTAGTCCACTTCGGTGTGGACTCTTCCAAAAGACGACGGCAGGGCTAAAAAAACATGCTGGGGGGCCACGGTCGAGGAGCCAGGAACGTTGATGTGTTTTAGCATCGCCAATGCAGTGGTGATGTGGGCACCGACATCATATTTCACGGCCCACGGAAACAAAGCGGGATGCTCGAAGCGCATCCCCTGCGCGGCTTCAATGGCTTCCGAGTAGATGTGGCATCTTCGTCGATGGGCTTGCATCGCTAACGCCAGCCCGTATGGCGACAAGAATTGGGAGTTTTTCATACGCAACTCCTCCTCCTTACGCTCGTCTCCCCAGCACTCCTCTTCTGAAATCGACGCCACGTTGGCTAATTGAAACATGTCCGACACCCTTTTTGAACGAGCCATCGGGTGCTTGAGAGTCGGAATGGCCACGTGCGCCATCTGGTCGAACAGTCCACATTCACATTTACGACGCAAATTCAGCGGGTGATCGATGGAGATCAGCGTCCTGAAACATATAACTTTCTCAGACACAGTAACAGCATCGGTACCTTTTTTTGGTCTTCCCCTCTTTCTGCGGGTTGTCGCCGTCCTAAGGGGTCATTCGTGACTCCGGGTGGTAACTTCACCAGCATATCAAAAGGTACCCTCACTGCGTCTCTGTCCCCTTCAATCATGGTTATTAGGGCACTATTCTCGCTCGCATCTAGTACGCGATACGGCCCTTCCCATGGGTTCACTAACTTGGGGTTGTGAGATGACTGTTTCTCCCTGGGAGCCTTCAGGTACACCCTATCGCCGACTTTCGGTGTCCTCGTGCATACACCCTTGTCGCGATCGTATGCGATTTTCATCTTTCGACGCATTTTATCATTCTCTTCCCGGGCATAGTCCCGAGCAATCTTGGTGGCTACCGCAACTTCCTGTGCGTAGCTCTCCAGATCCACTACATAGGTGCTAAGCTCACGATTGGGCACTGTGCTCCACGGTGTATACGGATCAAATCCGTGCAGCAGGTAAAAAGGTGACTCTCCCGTCGAATCATGCACCGTTGTGTTATAGGCAAACACACAGAATGGGAGAACCTTATCCCACTCTGTGGGTACGGCCACCTTCTTCCTCAACATTTGTATGAGTGTCTGGTTGAACCTTTCGGTTAAGCCATTCTCGCGAGGATTGTAGCCTTTCGTGAAAACATGCTCAATCCCCATGATTGACCTGAGCTCTTGCATGAGTCGATTGTCAAACTCTCCTCCCTGATCAGATAAGATACATTTCGGCTGCCGTCCGCCCTCAGCGATCCACCTTTCAAACAGCGTTCGAGCCACAATTGCCGCAGCTTTCGAGGGAATGGCATATGCGCCACCAAATTTTGAAAAGTGATCAATTACGCTGAGAATGTATCGGTTTCCATCCGTCGTCAATCCCATCTCCAGGATGTCAATGCCGACCAGCTCGTAAGGCTTTGTTGTAACAATAGGCTTCAACCCTGGCGTCATTGGATGACGATGATTATGACAGAGACACTCTCGACAATCTTGTGACCATTGGGCAATATCCCTTTTCATGGTTTCCCAGAACAGGTCTTTTGATAGCTGCCTCACAAGCTTCTTTGGACCGAAGTGGCCAGCTAGTGAGCCCGCGTGTGCTTCTTCGAAGATGGCTCTCCTCTTAGATTTTGGGACTACCCGACGAAGAGCATCGTTCTCCAGCAAAGCAAGATACCCTTGGTCAAAGACAAAGTCCGCTACTTTGAACTTTTGGGAAAGTCCTGGGATTGAAACATTGATGTCAAGATTTCCCTTTTCCAGGTTCTCTATCACCTCCGCATAGAAAGGATCTTTTCCGGAGCTCAATTGTCCACTCAGGCTCTTCTGCCATTGATGCTACAATGAGCTCGTTTGGGATGGGTTCCGTTTTTCCCTCCTCATCCGATGGGGCTGCACCTCGGCTCAGCGCATCCGCGACACGATTCGCAGCACCTTTGAGGTAGATGATCTTCAAGTTGTACTTCTGAAGTTCAAGCGCCCATCGGAGCACTCTCGCAGAAACGTTGGTTCGCTTGAAAAGCGCGGTTAGAGCTTGGTGGTCCGTGTACACTTCAACTGGAAGTCCGTACACAAACATATGGAACTTTCGTAAGGCGAAAACAACCGCCAATGCTTCCAAATCGGTCACGTGGTAGTTCTTTTCGCACCGAGACAAGCCTTTCGACGCGAAGAACACTGGATGTAGGAATCCATCTTCTCCCTCCTGACTCAAAACAGCACCAAGTCCTTGAGTACTGGCGTCGGTGTGAATTTTGAAAGGCTTACTTCCGCTCCTAGCTCCTTCAATATCTGGCTGCGCCAGCACTGGCGCCTGTGCAATTACAGACTTAAGCTTGTCAAAGCATGACTCCTTTGTAGAATCCCACTTGAACGGCACCTTTTCGGACGTCATCTCATGTAGCGGTCCGGCTACTCTTGAGAATCCCAGAACAAACTTTCGGTAATATGAACACATACCGAGGAACGTCCGGAGGTCCGACCGAGACTGCGGCAGCGGGTATTTCATGATCGCTTCGACCTTGGCTGGATCCATGTGCAACCCGCTATGGTCAATCACGTGGCCGAGGAACTCAACTTTCCTCTCCAACAAAACGCACTTCTTTGGATTTAATTTGAGTCGTGCTTTCGACAATTCTTGAAAAACTCGTTCCAAGACTCTTAGATGCTGCTCCACTGTTCCGGTCGCTACCATTATGTCATCCAAGTAGCAGAACACTTCTTCTCCTAGCAGAGGACAAAGAACAACATGCATCAGTCGTTGGAAGACGGCTGGCGAGGACGCTAGACCGAATGGCAAAACCCGAAACTGGTATAAGCCTTCAGTAGTCGTAAACGCCGACTTTTTCCTTAGCATCAGCCGACAAGCTGAATTTGCCAGTAGCCTGACGATAAATCTAAGGTCGAAAAGTATCTTTTACCCTTCAGGCTTTGCAAAATCGTGTCAATCGTTGGCAAGGGATAACTGTCAACTCTTGTCACCTGATTGAGCTTCCGATAATCCACGCATAATCTGAGAGTTCCGTCCTTCTTTTGCACCAACACGATGGGCGAAGCCCAACTCGATTTACTTGGCTCGAATGATCTTTCGTTCTTGCAAATCATTCAGAAATGCGTCGTAGCTCCACTCGCGTGCCTAGTGGCACCGGACGGGCTTTCTGCCTAATGGGCATTGCATCACCGGTCTCAATACTGTGTTCCACTAGCGTTGTTTGAGTGAGCTCTTGTTCACTTACTGCAAAAGCATGAGCGTAATGCCTGACAAGCTTCTCCAGTGCTTCATTGCACTCCTCACTTGTCCTGTTACTTTGCAGTAACCTGAGCAATTTTTCTTCACGATCTCCAGTTACCTCCACGGTGCGCTGCAACATGTCTCCGGAGTATTTGACAGGCTGCACTTCCACAACTTCGGTAGGCTCGAAGGTTCCCACCTCCTCCCCTACTCGGAAAATCTTTGCTCCTGCAAAGGTATTTGTTATGGGTAGTATTGCTGCCTGATTTCCACCTTTCCATATGACATCTGGAAGCAGGTGCTCCTTAGACCAAAAGATACCCTCCTGCGTTGGGCCATCGCACCGAATACGTAACGATTTCGTCTCACCCGGGCGTAGGTATACTCTTTTGGCAATTGTGACTGGGAGGCAATCATTAGAAGATTCCTTCTGCCGTTTCTTGGTCCCCTCACTTACTTTACGGGGCTTCTTTACGACAGTGTAAAATCGTGTCGGAGTTGTTTGGTTCTGGTGATTGAGGCCATAACCAAGTTTCTGAAGTGCATTTGTTCCGAGAACAATCATGCCATCTCCTCCAGACATGACAAACAGAGCGATACGCTCCTTCCTTCCGCTGTCAATTTGCAGGGTTAGCCTGATGGCTCCCTTGAAGGACATTTTGTTGCCCGACGCATCGAATACCTGCTTCTTCTGTTCCAGTGGTATTTCTTCCACATCAGCGTCCAAGTCAAAACCTGACTCCCAAGCTGTTTGGAGCATTCGCAGTGGTATGATGCTGATTTGGGAGCCCGTGTCCAACAAGGCTTTCCTTGACATTCCAAGGAGATGAACTTCTGTTACTGTTTGTTCTCCTACAAGTTCGCTCTTATCCGCAGCCTCCACTGCACCACAGATCCACTTCTTCAGGGATGCAGTGAATATTCTCGCTGTCCCTGCTTGTTGATTAGCGTTTGCGGACTTCTCCTTGGCGTTTGCCTTTTTTCGGGAGTGTACAATCCTTTTTCAAATGCCCCTGCTTGTCGCAGTTATAGCATTTCACAAGGGGTTTCCGGTGTTCCCCCTCTGACGCGCTTCTTTTCCGTCATCTGCGCCTGCTGGTGTTGACGCAGGGTTCTCTGCGTTACTCGCTCTAAACTTTTGACCAGCCATGCGTCTTTTTCGTTCCTCACGACTTCGATTATAACCTGCAGAAGCTTCCCTCATTGCTGTCGCCACTTCTTTACTTCTCTCGCATCTTTGCGCCATGGCTTTGACCATTTCGTAGGCCGCTTCTTTTGGAGCAATTTCCATGGTCGTGTAGAGCTGGAGATATTCGGGCCAGTCCGTTAACTGGCTCACCAACTCTCCTGCCCTAGTGCGGGACAGTTCTTCTTCTGAAGCGTCAGGGTATGCCTCTCTGGTTAACCTTTCCAGTTCCAGACAATACCTTGTTACGTCTCCTGACTTTCTCAAGCGCTTCAGATCCATATACGCTTTCATTTGAATGGACGAACTGTTTACCTCAAACTTCGACCTCATTGCATTGACTAAGTCGTCGAAGTTGCCTTCCCTTATGTGTTTAGGTAGTGCCTTAGCTACTGCCTTTGGGTACCCGTCCAATTTTGAAAGCAGCAAGTGGTTAAGCAGCTTATTCTGGAGCCTTAAGTTCTGGTATTTCATCGAAAACCTCATGATGAAATCCTCGAAACTTCTCCCCTCAGGGTCTTTGTACACCTCTACTTCGGGTAGGGCTATCGATGCAAAGATATGGCCTATTTGGCTCTCTGAACAGGATGACCCACCTGGGCTTTGGAACGTCATCGACGACGATTGGCTCGAGCCCCTGGTCCTCGGCCTGTAGTCGGTCATCTTTTCTGGCTGCAACAGCCTTGGTTCAGATATCTCATGCTTCACTTTGCTAGCTTTACCGTTTTCATAAAGCTTACCTTGAGCAGCAGCGACTGGATCGAAGTTCAGGTGGTACTCGACATGATCGAAGTCGCTTACATTCAGCTGCTCATAGGCTATCTCTGTCGCGTTTCCGCTGCCTCCTGCCTCAGCGTTCTGAAAGCGAAAACCATCAGAATGTTTACTCTGAGATGCCGCTTGTCCAAGTGCGGCTTTATTTTCAACCTTATACGACAGCACATTCCCGTGCTGCTCAGCTCTCTGCTTCACAGTGTCACTCTGCAACGCCCTTGCTTTCAGTACTAATGCGAGCGTCTCGCATACTACCTCTTTGCAAGCGTATGCCTCCTGTTCCAACCCCTTCAACCGCTGCAGCTCCAGCTCTATGAGGTCGCACTCCTCATTTATTCTGGAGCTTACGAGATCCTCTAGCTGCTTAGCGGTTCTAGTTGAAACTCCCTGTGACATCTGTGCAGGACACTCTCGTAGACTTGCCAATCTCATTTCAATGATTTCTGTTGAGGCACGCACCTGTGGCAACTCCTTACTTGCAAGGCTATCAACCTTCTTGGCAAGGTGCTCTAATGCCGTTTTCATGGACGCGAGCTGCTCGTCCGTGGAGTTTTCATCGAGCAATAAGCGCTCCAGCTCATCTGGGTTGATTTCGTGTGTGGACGACATGTTCAGTCTGTAACTGTAAAGGTTTGGTTGCGTTGTTTACTCCTGCACACCAACACCAACACCGAAATCGTTTCAGCTGATTGCTATTCTCTACCCAGACGTCCTTCCCTGATCGATCGATATCGATTGACACGTGAATCCTCTCTCAGCTAGTAGGTACGCCCTGACCACACAGTACAAGCGACGTCACCCAACACGTGAAGAGCAATGACGTCACGTTAACACGTGACTGTCAATGACTCACGACCAGGTGTGACTCACCTGTCAAGTCCTGTTAGCCAGGAGGTACACTGCCTAACTGGGGCAGGATTCACGCCCGAGTCGCTCCGAACGACCTAAGGGGCGGTATCGATCGATTGCTGAGCGTAGTCTTTAGTTCGGCCCCCAAGTAACGCTGTGCTTGGGAGGAGACTCGACTCAATCGCTCAGTTTATTCGACACTCAACAATGAATCATACAGCCGGAGCGCGGATCTTATATAGCTGCCTCAGGGGGCGGGACCGGAAGTAGGCGTGAACCTCGCTGTGATTGGCCGGTTCTCCTTACAGGCGTTAACGTGATCACTGACGACGGCTCCGGAGTATCGATCGGCTAAGGCTATAGCGGTTGAAATGGATTGTACTAAACAATAAACTTTTACACAATCAACAGCAACAAACAAACATAGACACTTGTCTAGGATAACATAACACTCCCAGCATACACGACGTTGGCGGAGGTTCCGCCCACAATGGGCGGAGCGCGCTCTGAAGTGTACAGCGTTTTCTACAAGTCCTCATAATTCGGGCCGGAGAAGTCTTACGAGGAAGGTCTTTCAGGAAATGCCAAGCTTTCTCAAAACGGTTTTTTGCATGATATAGGGGCACATGCGGGAACACAGAACCATGTTCATTTTTCCTGAACGGCCCTCTGAATACCAAAAAAGGGGTGATGAAGTGGTCCGTGGTTCGATCCTCGCAGTGACAATTTTTTGCATTTTGTGTTGGCGTTCCAAAATTCGCGAAAAAGGGAGTCAGCGTGAATAGCAGATGTCATATCTATAATTAGGAGCAACAGCAACCTTCATACGTAGATTTTGACTAAAAAACTGGTGGAGAAAGTTGCGACACCAAAACGGCGCCGTTGTAGCGCCCAATGGCGTCATAGCGGAATTCAAATGACGTTTACGCTAAAAACTAATAGAATATTCGTAATCAGGACGCCGAATAACCCCTAGCCCGAAAGTTTCAGGGAAAATTAAGATTTCGTCCTAACTTCGAACAGTTGGACCATGGGTCAGTAGCCCGTCAGGCTCATTGGTAAACAATTTGGAGGCGACCTTCTTGTCATTTCTTACGGAATGAGAGATCCTTCCCCGTAATAGACAATGGTAGACACTCAAGCGATGGGTGAGAAGACAGCAATGACTATGTCATTAGTTCTCCTCCTTGTCAAACACTGGCAGGATGGACTTCTGGTCATAATTCTGGCTGGGTCTACTGCCGATAGCTAGATCAGCTGCAAAAACGCAAAGTTGTGTGAGACTTGCCCTGCGAGGGAGAACCTCGGTTTCCGTGGTAATCACTAGGACGGACCCCTCCTATTCCACGTTAGCCCTTCTCCAAGCCTTCCGGGGTTTGTTTATGAATT